TTTCGGAATCGGGATGACGCCTAGAGACCGAAAATCGATGTTCAACGACATTGTTTAATCCAACATGGTGTCTCTCAGATTCTGAAAAACTGTCATATACTCTACAATATGGGTATTTACGGAACGGGTTCGACATGTACATCCCGAAAATATATGTCTGACACTATTTTGTAATCCAATATGGCGGCTCTCAGATTCAGAAAAACTATCAAATTTGGGTATTTTCGGAACATGTACTACGCGTACATCCCAAAAAATCGAGGTCTGACGCCAGATTTGAATCAAAGATGGTGGCAAGTGACTTCAGAAAAACTGTCAAATACCCTATAATATGCGAGGGGGACGACTCTATCTACGATGCAGAAAAGATTGTGTTTTGCTGTGGCTAGCTGCACGCACGCTGAGTAGATAGAAGGAAGATTTATGTCGATTTTGAAGATTTCCAGCAAAAAGATGATGAGCGATGCAAGTAGATGCGACAAATGAACGATGATTTTTCGAAGATTGATTCGCTAGTGTGAGATTTTTTGAGCATCTAGAATTGAGATTTAGATGTGTCGCCCCTCTCGATAATATGGTTATTTTCGGAATTGGGTCGACCTGTACATCCCGAAAATTGATGTCCGACGCCATTTTGTAATGCAAGATGGCGGCCATTGACTTTAGAAAAACTGTCAAATATCCAACAATACAGATTTTTTTAGACGACATGTTGCTGCCGAATATCAATGTCCGACACCATTTTGAAATCCAGGATGACGGCTTACGGTTTCAGCAAAATATATAAATACAGTCGAATACCCTTCAATATGAGTATTTTTGGAAAAAGGAATGACGTCTAGAGAATTACATCTAGAAATAGAAAATGAGTGACCTGAAATCCAAAATGGCAGCTACAGGATACAGGAAAAGTTGAAAATACTGTCGAATACCCATTTTACCTACCTTCTGGTTGCAGATAAACTGGATAGTAATGTTAAATACCTCCATCATATGGGTATATTTTGAATGAGGACGATTTGTAGAGACTCAAAATCGATGTCCGACGCAATTTTGGAATCTAAGATGGCAGTCCTGTTAGAAAAAACTGGCAAATACCCTTCAATAGACGGAAAATTGATGGCTGACGCCATTTCTGCATTCCAATTTTCGGCATCTGCACGCCGTCTTTGAGCCGAAAATATCCATACTGCAAAGTATTTCAAGCTGAACTTTGCATTAGGTCCTAAGTAACATTGACAGATTCTCTTCATCGGCTTTCTCTTTGTATCCCCATGGCCATGTCAATACTTTCCCATATATTTTCAGCACACAGATCGATAAAAGAAGCTTTTATCTAGCATCCAATACGACAAACATAACAAAAACCGGTTTTGTGCTCAAGTTATTATCGAAAGTGGCAGTATTTCCCACTTTTTCTGAAATTGGAAGCCGCCATCTTGGATTTCAAGAAGGCGCTGGAAATCGATTTTTGGTCTCTAGACGTCATCCTGATTCCGAAAATATACATATTGATGGGTATTTGGCAATATTTCCCACTTTTTCTGAAACCGGAAGCCGCCATCTTGGATTTAAAAAAATTAAACTGGAAGCTGCCATCTTGGCTTCGGAAATCGATTTTCGGGTTTTAAACGTCATCCCGATTCCGAAAATAAACATTTTGAAGGGTATTTGGTAGTATTTCCCACTTTTTCTTAAATTGGCAGCCGCCGTCTTTAATTTCCAGATGGCGCTGGACATCGATTTTCGGTCTCTAGACGTCATCCCGCAATTTACGTATTTGGCAGTATTTACCACTTTTTTTCTAAAACCGGACGCCACCATCTTTGATTCCAAACATCGATTTTCGGCAGCTTCCAGTTGTGTCCGTTCCAAAAATACCCATCACTGCAAACACGAAGTTCAGCGCCAAGATTCAAGCTACTTCGAGTCAGAGGTGAAATCACTTCAAAACAACACAATTCCAGTTATTTCTATGTTGTTATGTCTCGCATGCAAAGCGACATGCATTTACTAGAAAACGACCAGCGGCAGTTTTGTCGCGACAGAATGGAAGAATGACATGACAGACTTTTTTCGTTAATAACCATGTCGACAGTTTCCGTCATCTTGTCGTCCGACGTACGTGAAACAACTAAGTCGTTCTGGAAAAAGTCACGCAACAGATGTTTCGTGACCAAATGAGAGAAAGACAAGAATAGAAAATGTTTCGTTGAGAGACGGCCCAGTAGATCAGTCTTTCAAGTAGAAGTATGTTGCATCGTGCTTGTCAGATGAGTGCTGACTTTTTTTGTTGTCGTTGTTACATAGTTTATCGTCATGAGGTTGACAATTCCCAAGCCTGTTCAAAACCTTACACCTTTTTATGACGATAGAAATTTTAGATTTTCGATTTAGAATTTGGTCGCACAATGTAGGTAATTTCTCGAAGGGAAAATAAAGATCAAAAATTATTCGTCAGCTTTTCGGATGAATTTTCTAACCTTTCGTGGAATTCCTCTCATCATGTCTTGCACAGTAGTTCTGTCAACCTCATCTACCATCCTTTTCCATCATTTCTCCAAATCAGATGGTGTTTTGATTGTTTTGCCACATTTCTTCAATTTGCGCTTGATAATTATCCAACATTTTTCAATGGGACGAAAATCTGGACAATTTGGTGGATTGATACTTTTCTCAATAAAACCGACATTATTCTGCTTATACCATTCTATGACATCGCGGCTGTGATGGCAGCTAGCTAAGTCAGGCCAGAACTTTACGGGACCTTTGTGTGATTGAATGAACGGCAAAATTATGTTCTGGAGACACTCCTCCTTGTAAAGTTGTCCATTCATAGTCGCTCCAGTGATGAAAACCTTTGTTTTCTTTCCTCAGATGTCTTGCCAAATCATCAACTTGCGAGCGAAGTTATCTGCAAAGACAAATTTGAATTTATCCGGAACATCCATCCCCCTAAAGTTTAGCAAATTAAAAATTTTGGCCCGGGATTTGTCCAAAGTCCATTTTTAGGTAAGTTCCATCGTCCATCAACATGTGAGTGTGCAGAATTTTTTCACGTCTGTCACTTTCCATCTTCGATAACTTTTGAATAAGTATATGAATCCTGATGACTACTAAATAAACAGTCCTTCCGGATCAAAACGCTGTCAATAGTTTATTCATACGACAACTAGAGGCGCTACAGTAATTAAAAAGAAGCGGATAAATACTAACTGGAACAGACTTTACCTCAAATACCTTCCCGTAAGACGTAAGTACGTCAAAAATATCAATAAATTTACTATGATTTTTCAAATATTTACATGGGAATTCCATAACGGTCATTTTCTTAATGCCTACTTTTTCCATATGGGACTGATATGGGATTATAGTCAGTTTAATACACACCAAATTTTGAATTCGCCTTCCAGCACTTTGAATTGCTGAATAATGTTCAGTAAAACGATTTTTTACTGGATACCAGCAACGCTTAGTTTGAAGTGCTAGAAATCAGTAAAAGTATTTTTATTGCTGGAAACCAGTAAAATATGCAAGTGCTATCTGTCAGTTGGACTTATACTTTTTCACGTGATTCACAGGTAAACAGTTGTGAAAATCAGGTAGCAATATTATTGATACAGTATATATCTAAATCATATATCTTCGAGACTGGTAAGATCCTCATGAAAGTAAGTTAAAATTTACTCTATTATGAATGTATCTTTTCCAGATGCCGCCTGAAGCAGGTCCGAAAATGATCATCGGCAGATTCCTTGCCTGGTGAACTCAATAGACTTTCATTGTGTTAATTCCAAAAAAAAACATCAATCAACCGTATCATAAAATGCGCAGCAATATGAATAAATACATAAAACAGGTTCTTGTAAATCAATAATCTATACATTTATTTAAAAAATAAACAAAACAAAACATTGCTGAAAATCCAGGAAAATCCTGCTGCTGATAATCCAGCAAAGTAACTGTCACACTGGATTGCTGAAAGGTCAGCAAAGTTCATTTTTGCTGGATGGATTGCTGGAAATCCAGCTCGGCAAAATCCAGCAAAATTTTGCTGATTTCCAGCGAAATTAAAATAGTGTGTACGTATTAATGGATCAATGAAAATGCTGAGGTTTTGACAGAACTATGCTGCGGCTACCACAGTATTTTACATTTGATCGTCCATATACAGTAGCACCAACAGCATGCTGTGGTGGGTTCAAAACTCGACCATCTAAAATGATCAATTACTATGTACCACGCGTCTCCATGCGGTAGCGTGACATTGTCACACAAAATAAGCAAGCTTGTGGATAAATTATCTCTCACCAGAGCAAATAAAGATGTACAGATGTAGAACCTGAAGAATCGATTTTATGGCTATTGTTTCGTGTTGCAACGTCTCAATTCCAATCATTTCACCTACCATGAAGGATTCACCCTTATACTCACTCCCAAGCACCGTTCCACTGCACAAAAAAAAAAGATTTCTTTTCACACGTAATAAAACTTCCAGCAAGCGAACAACGAACCAGCAGCGAGCAAAAAGCGTTAAATAATTGATCAGATCACCGTGGTTGGCCCCTAAATTGATTGGCGGAGTTTTATTAGCTTTTCTCCGCCACTTACCGAGAGAGTAATATACCTTACACATGTGGTGCTTTTCCATGACGTGTTATTCTAACCCGATAGAGAAAGTTTTACCCACTTAACCTGAATCTACTCAACTCTTGGGGGAAAATCAACTTCATCCCACCGATCTCAAGCCAGAAGAATATTGAATTGTGTCCTGGCAATATGCGTTAATTAATTTGTGCTTCGCTTCGGTGGGATTTTGGTTTATTCGAAGCAAAAGGGCCTCCATCACACAGGGGAGCAATTGTTGCGAACTTTTCCCATCATACCACAGAGGCGTGTGCCAATGGACACCACTTGGGATAGCTATGTTTCAATATAGCTTCGTCGAGATTCTTTAAAACATATATAGTTATGTACGTAGGATTTAACATAAGTCTTACCTAGCAGAGGCACAGCATCCGAAGTGGCCGGCATGGTTTCCGCCACCATGTTAAGGAAGACAGTAAGTGACAGCAGAATGGTGACTCCTATGAAATAAAGAAAGAGGAAAAAAAATGTTGAAAATCATTAATCAAACTGCTGAAAATGATAAATGATGTCGTGTACCGGTAATGAACTCGGACCCGCAGGTGGTAAATCTACTTCCCCTAACGAATGTACGTCACGTCGCGGGTAACTATGAAAACAATGGATTTTTAGCTACAAGCACAGAAAAGCCACAGTTGACTTATCCTGTCAGGCGGGGCTGATTCTGTTGTTTTTGTCTTTTTCTGCGGTCATTGTCCGCTCACTCCACGTGTTCAGTTGGCCGCAACTGAAAAAGCTCTCATTTCACCACCTGCCGCACCGCATCGTCCGGTTTCCGTCGAAATCGGGTGTGATGTTGCAAATAGTAATTATGGAAATTAAACCGAAATTAATTCTGGGTTATGTTTCGCCGGACAGCAACTCACGAAAAACCAAGTTGCGTGTTTTTGCTTCTACAGAATGCGGTTCAACTTTCTGGTCGTCCGGTTTTTATTGTGCAGAGAATTCAGGTAGCTCTGGGACCGGTAGATACGTGCTTTGAAACATGCCTAACAACTTGCTTTGTCTCGAAATCTGGAGCCTCAAAAATTTTGTTTACGTTGCAATCAACCTAATTTGTGTTTACCCGGCTTCGGATTCGGACAATGACTACGACAAAAACCAGCAGTAGGTCATGATTTCTGCGCTATTGAAGCAGTACCTACCTACCGAGCTACTAGATTTGCTACATTTTTCGTTCTGTTTACGACCGGAATCATCACAACAGAAGCCCACTTTTACGACGGTTTGGTATTTTTTTTTCAACCTGTGTGCCAGAACTGAACGCCACATCCTGCCACTGACTGTTGGTAGCCGTTTTCAGTTTGTATTACTTTTCGACCGGTTTTGCACGTGCTAGGGTGGGTGCGGCGTGCCGGTGGACTAATGGAATCACACATGATGAGGATGCGGTCGTAAAAAAAGGTTCTCTCGGTTGTGTTGGGATTTTTAATACCTGTAAACTCTGAATTAGACATTCTAGGAAACATACGCACTGGGGGTTGTAGAACTTGCTGTTGTTGTTGTTGTTGATGATGCAGACGAGTTGATTCAGGGAATGAATTGTTTTCGTCCTTGTTTTCGTTGCTTTTCTCGAGTTTTGCGAGCAGTTTTTAAGTGGAGTTTTGGGAGCACTCTTTCTGCTGTTTGTTGTTACTCGTACCTATTATAGTTAATTTTCCGAACAAGAATGATGATTGGATGAACCGGGGAGCTCTGGTTCGGATAATTAAATGCTTTGTTGCGGATGAGCTCCTTGGTTTTTATGCTTCGTTTGCTGTTCAACTAGCATTCCACATTCCACTCTGTGTTCTGAACTAGCTTGTTAATTGGATGTTTGAAATTTTATCTGCATTTACCATTCGATTGGTAGATTTCCATTTAAACTCAAGGTTTAAAGTGAACTTCGTTCCCTGCAGTTTCACTGCGTGACCATACACTGTCGATGATAATGCTGTACTCAACAGTGAATTTCCAAATAGCCGTATCTGCTTCTTAGCTCATTCACGCAAAATAAATCTACGATAATGTTGGGGATATACCTGTGCGCCTCCACACCACGCCGCCGGCACACCCGGCACTTTAGCACACGCCGCTGCCGCTGATGAATTTTAGTCGGCTCACAGCCGTTATAATTTCTCGCGCAACACGAGAAAAGGGCCTGTTGATCGATTCTCTCTTCATCGATTTTCTCTTTCGCGAATAAACCGACAGCAAATGAATTTTCCATTGAGTGTGTTGTTTCAGGAGCAAGCTAAAGGTACGCTTAGACTATCTGATTTGTTGGTCTGATTCGAGCGGACTGCTCGATAATTTTGTCGGATGCAATGTTCGGATGCGTGCACACTTTTTCGACATGATGATTAGATTTGACGTTTGATTTATCAAACGAAATAGATTTTTGGTTTAATTTTCATTCGCCTCATTCAGCAAAATAACCGGAAGGGAGGTGAAAATAATGAGTTTTTGTTTTCTAAAATTTCACGGATTTGAACTGCTGAAGAATGCTTGATTTGTGTTTTGATTAACCGATTTAACTATTCAATATTGTCCTGCGTTTGATTTGACTGATTTTTATTTACGATTTATTTATGATTGGCCAAAATATGCTGTAATGGCTTTGATGATGACATAGTCAACAAATCAGTGTTTATATAATACTAGGCATGTACTATATAAGAATAAGTATGACAGGCAGCAGGTTTGAGATCTAACTAAGATTTTTTTAGAGCTTCAGAGAGGTTCGGAGATCTACTAAGAAATGTGTAGAGCTTCAGAGTAGTTCGTAGATCTTGAAAACAGAGCTTAAGAAAATTTTAAGAAATTTCAAGAAATTTGCAGAAATTCAGAAAAAATCACAAGAGTTTTGGTAGATCTTCAGATAAATTTTCAAAAATTCAAGCAAGCTAAAATAATTTCAGACCAATTTGTAAAATTGTAAGCGAAATTTTGCAAATCTTCTGGGAAATTCGCAGAACGTCAGACAAGTTCAAGAATCTATGAAAACTTTCACAGAAGTTTAGAGATCGACTGAAAATTATTAAACATCAGAAAAAGTTCGTAGATCTTCAGAACAAAGCTTCAGAACTTCTGAAAAAATCGCAAGAATGGTCATAGATCTTCAGATAAATTTGAAGACCTCCATGAAAGTGTGCAGGTTTTCTGATACATTTTTAGAATCTCAGAAATTTTAATGGATCTCCAATGAAATTTGCTGAACTTCAGGGAAGTTTGGCGATTTAAAAAAATATATTGATACTATTCCAGGGAAATTTGTCGATCATGAGAGAAATATTTAAAACTTCAAGGAAGCTTAAATTTTAAGATAAATTTTGAGAACTTGAGGTAATTTAAAAGATCTCCGGAGAAATTTTCAGATCTTCAGGGTAGCCCGTAATTCGTAGATCTTTAGAATAGAACTACGCAGCTTCAGACTACTTTCTTTCGTCTTCTTCGCATTTCAAGCTTATTGCATATCGCATATTAGCTTATTGCGTGCTCTCAACTTAGTGTTCTAGATGCACTTCCACAGAGCTTTCGATGCCTGTACCATTTTTGCATTTGTATAATTGTGTGGCAAGTCCAATCATACTTCTATGCCCAGGGAAGTCGAGAAATTTTCCAACCCGAAAAATTCCTAGACCGGACCGGGAATTGAACCCAGCCATCTCCAGCATGGTCTTGCTTTGTAGCTGTGCCTTTACCGACTGAGCTAAGGGAGGCCCCCGACAACTTTACAGAACTTTAAATATATTTGCAGAACTTTGCAGGAGTATATATTAAGAGAAATATTCAGAACTGCAAGCAATTTTGCAGATCTTCAGAGACATTCAGTGGTTCAGAAAACTTCACAGTTTTAGAAAAATTTGAGACCTTCAGAAAAATTCGTAAAGACAAAAAAGTACTTCAATTCTAAAAACAATTCTCAGCAAAGTAAAGTCCAAGATTTTGCAGAATTCCATGGAAGTTGGAAAAAGATAGATCTGAAGAACTTCAAAGAAGTCCGTAGACTTTAAGAGAAGTCTGTAGAACTTCAGAAAGTTTGTACATTTTTAGAAAAAAAAAATCAAAACTTTAGCAAAACTCACAGAACTTTGGGAATGTTATTATCTTTAGAAGTATTTATACAACTTCGTAAATCTTCAGAGAAATGGTGAAAACTTTAGCGAAGTTCAAATAATTTCTTATAATTTGTAGAGCTTTGGGGTATTTCAAAGAATTTCAGGTAAATCTGCAGAACTTTATGGCAGTCCAAGAATCCACAAAGAAATTTACAGAAATTTAGAGAAGTTCAGAGATCTACTGAGAAATTTACTGAACTTCATGGCAGTTTGTAGATCTTCAGAGCAGAAATACAGTACTTAAGAAAATTTTACTGAATTTTATAGAAATTTTAGGAACTTCAGAAAAGTTTAGAGGGTAGATCGTAAATCTACTAAAAAATCAGCAGATGTTTAAAAAAAACAGAATTTTATTAAGGTTCTTGTATTTTGAGGAAACTTTACAGAGCTTCAGAGAACTTCCTAAAACTTCCGGGAAGCTCAAAATTTTCTAGGTAAATTTTTAAATAGTTTTAGGGAATTGTGTAGATGTCCCGAGATATTTGCCGATATTCATTGAATCATGAAAATCTGCAGAGAAAATTACAGAACTTTAGAGAAGTTCGTAGATTTTTAGAAATTTATTGAATGTCAGAGATAATTGTTGATCTTTAAGGATCTTTTAAGATTTCTAGAGAAATTTGCAGAATTTTTGAAGAGCACACAGAACTTCAAAGAAATCTGCAGAACTATCGAGAAATGTACAGATCTTCAGCAAAGATTTTTGATCTTCAAAGATATTTTACCAGAAAACAGAAACAATACTTGAGGGACGTCCGAGGGTTTTCAGAGAAATATGCAGAATTGAGTTCTTAACAGCAATTTTCAGAACTCAAGGAATCATGTAGATCTATAGAGAACTTTTCCCAATAGCTTCGTCTTCATATCTAAGTTCTTGAAGCACAAGATGAGCCAGATCCCTGCCGGTGTTCTTCCTGAGCAACCATTTCCACAAAAGTTCACCTTATCCTTCTAATTTTATTTAAAATAATAAATGCAAATACGCCTCCCGAAGGTAGAGCAATTTTCCGGTAATTCATTATGGAAGTAGTTACTTTTGGTTCTTGATACAGTTTTGTTTTGAAACCAAAATTCATAGTGCTTTGGACATGTGCAAGCAGTGTGAACACCAGCAAACAGGGAGGTTCGACAATGTGTGTCGAAAGTAAAATCGAGCACATTTTTCATTATGGCGGCGGTCAAAATCAGACCAAGAAATCAGATAGTCTAAACGGACCTTAACATCATCTTCTGTCGAAGTGTGCTGCGAGCTTAAGGTCCGTTTAGACTATCTGATTTCTTGGTCTGATTTTGACCGCCGCCATAATGGAAAATCTGCTCGAATTTACTTTCTACACTCT